GGGAATTTCCTCAGTAATTCCGCAATGGCCAACAGCAAAAAGCTGTCTGGGTCGTGAGAGTTTCTTATCTTATTTTAGGTCAGTGCACCATTTTTTCCCCACAGATTTTTAATATTATCTTTTTGTGATTTTTTCCCAAAAAAAGAAATTTAATTGTATTTTTAATTAAAATATAACATTTAGAAGTCTCTTTAAATCATTCAAAATACACTGACGAAACCATACTTCTGGATTAAGAATAATTTTATTCTTAATCATAATATTCTTAAATAAAAAAATAATTCATGAACAACATAACAATAATGAAGACAAGATGAGAATAGAATAGATTCACTGTGTTATGTAGTACAAGTATTATTCTTTCTATTTAAGAATATTATAATCAAGAAAATAATTATTCTCGATCCAAGAATGTTATTTTATCAATGAAATTGACTACTAATAAAAACAGTTAACAAGCAAGTAAAATTTATAGTCAATTTAGAATTTTATTAAATGAATGAATATTCGAATTCTAGTGAATATAAATACCGAATATCAAACAGTTGAATTTTTGTTTTATTTGGGATGATTTTTTTGTTCAACTTTGTGCTCTTTTTGATGATGTACTAGCAGTAAAAATCAAAGTTATCGCTTGTAGGAATCTAAAATATGACAAAGAAGGCGAAGAAGGGCTGGAAGTAGGAAGAGAGGAATAAGTTACGATTCAGTGCCAACTGTTGAGTTTTATCACTCGGTTCTCTTTACTTTGCTCCACTCAATCCCCTTACAAGTCCTTTACTCTGCATATGTCGGCTATGAGGAACGACGACGAGGGAAGTCACACGAGATAGGCCACATGTGTGCATGCGTTCTTCTCATTCTCTTACTTTACTTAGTCTCTTCTACCCCTCCCCCTCATCTCTTATGGTTTAGAACCGACCATCTTTTAAATTCTCTCAAGAGGCCTTTGACGTCTACCAAAAAAACATCTTAAATGATATGACTTGCCCGGTCCTAAATAAAAGTATAAAGTTGTGGGAACACATGTGTCTAATGTTTATACGCTTGGACTCATCTTCTCCCGCGGATCTTCCATACTTTGCTATTCATTTATCACCCAAACTTGCTACCTAATCATTTCTAAAACTTTCCGGATGTGATTTGAGCCAACTTTCAACTCTATGTGCACTTTAACCCTCTCAGTCCAGCTGCTGTCGATTCATCAAAAACCTTGTTTGTTCACAAGGGGTCCAATGACCCAAGGAGCTATCGATACTTTTTCTCTTGCACCATTGATTTCAACAAAAAATCATCTTTAAACATTTTAGTCAAGTTACTTTAAATTCTTTGACAATTTATTTGGTAATATTAAACCTGATAATGATAATGACACTACTGATAGTTGATTTAAAAAGTTTTTTATGATATAATGAGATTAAAAAAAATAAAGATTTTAGAAAAATATTATTTATTGTATGCTTTTCAATATGTAAGGCAAGTTATTGTATTAATTATTAAACTATCGAAAAAATGCTTTTCATTATGAATTACAAAAGTAAAATTTCATTTGAATTCTGTAGCATTTTTTTCCACAAAAAACTTTTTTAAAAAATAAAAAAAACAATTCGCTATTGTGTTTATGCTTTTTTTTTTTTTTTTTAATTTAGCATTAATATAAATGTAAAATATTGACTCGTCAAATACCTATGATGTTAAAAAGTATCGTTAATTAATGAAAAATAGAATAAAAGTATATAGATTGAAATAGTTGATAATATTTAAAGTGGTACTTTTTTTTGAGCATCTTAAAACTATAATTTCTCTGTAGAAAAGATCTTGAGATATAAATTTCCAGTATAACTTCAATATCAATCCAATTTCCTGCGAGCAAACATTATTAAGATCATTTCTTCCAAATGATTCCAACTCTATTAGAATTAAATTGAATAAGTCAAAAAAGAGTCTTAAGACTTAAGGAGTGAAAAATGTTGATTAAAAAAAAAAAAAAAAAGTTTTTTGGTGGCAAATGACGTCAGTTAGAGTTGTACTAGGTCGCGGTGCCCTTTGGGGTGATCGTCACACATATTCGCGTCTCCAATATTGCCATCTACGTTGCTCATGAAGCTTAAAAGTGAGACAAAAGACAAAACCTAACCTGACTCTTTTTTTTCCATCTCCTTCTATCTCGCCGAAAAAAGCAAGGCTCGCAGAAAGGACGCCGGGCGTCGTAGCGCTCTTTGGCTGATCAATACGCCGCCTCGTACGCGGACGGTCACGCATGTGCAGGGTGGGTTAGAGAGACCACCCTCCTCCTCCATTCCTTTCCTAGGCTGCCCGATTTTTTTCCTCCTGTTACCTCCTGCATTTTTTACGCCTTTTTTCCTCCTCACCCTCTTCGGCGCCGTCGTCTCTCGCCCACTTTCTCCCACACACTCACCCCTTACGTCTCATCCTCCTTCTTCACCACCTCCCCATCCCTTTTCCCTAAAGCTTTGAGGCTACAGGAGAGAATTTTCTCTCTCGCGTTCTATTTTTTTTTTATTTTTCCCCGTCGTTTCTTCTCCTTTTTTCTCGCTTATTACTTCTTTTTTCTTCACTTCGTCCCCTCACTCTTCTCTTACCCTCTCGACCCCCTCCTCCTCCTTCTCCCACGGACGTCGGCGTCCTTTTGCTATCGGGGCTCTCTCGCCTATCGTACCAATACTTTCTTCCATTCTCCATCACAAGCACATGGGCCTCACGTCTCACAACTACTTTTTCAACTCACCCCCTTATTCTAACCCCCCATCTCCCATTCTGCTTCAACCTCACCCCTACTACCATCCAACCCCCTTCAGCTAGTTCTACGGTTTTTTCGCGGGGCTGAAGCGTGTACTAATACTACCATAACGTAAGCCTTCGCCGAAACCCACACGAGTCCGTCCATGAGACATGAAGCTTCTACTGACGAGCCGCAGGGGGTGGAAAAATCCTCGATCCCTCTTTTTATACACCCCAACCACCCTTTCTATCCTTCACCTCTTCTCCTCTTCGATACCTCACGTTGCTTCCAAACTCTCTCGTGCTTGCTCCTGGTTACGTGTTAATTCTTTTTTCGTTTCTATACTATTTCTATGCACTTTTTTTATACTTTTATTTTTTATTTCATTCTATTTACTTTTTTTATTTACTTTTCTTACTTGTATTCCGTGTAGACCAATACCGCACAACTATTCTCATTTTAAATTGACATTATTGCAAATTTATCCTGATTTTTTTCAACTATTTATTTTCATTTTCAAATTATTATATACATTTTTAAAATACATCTTTTCAATTCTATTCATGGTAATTCTCAATGTTGTTATTAGAAATCAGTTGTTTATTTATGGAGTTTTGACAAATTTCTGAAGATTTTATTATTTTCCATGTAATAAATATGTCTATTAAATATTTAAATACTTTGCAGTTTATGTAATAATAACTCCAATCATCATTTATAACACTGATTAAATTATTCACCAATCTCGGAATTATAAAAATAATATAAATTCAGTTTGTTTAATTTCATAATACTATTTTAAGTAATATAATTGTCAAAACCAGTAGCATAAAATTGCCGGTTAATAAGTAATGGATAACGATTGGAATATATTTTTGTACGTAGGATAGAAAGAAACACAATATGTATATATATATACATAAAGAATAAGATAAAAGAAAGTAAAAAAAGGCGAGAGCCAATCGATTGGCGCTTGTCCCGACCGATTCTAACCTTAGACCCGGGCAAAAAAAAAATGTTCTTTCCCGTCTACTACAAAAATAGAACATGGCGGCGAAATAATGTCGCGAGGGCGAGAAGAAAGAGAAAAAATAAAAATCTAGAAATAAAAAAGCATAAATAGAAAAAAAAAAAATGACAAGAGACAGTACGATTTCCGGGTCGATCTGTGATGCATCACTCATTTTTCCATTTTTGTCCTCATTCTGGGCTTCTTACTCGCGATCAAAGACCCCTCCGGAACTCTAAAACGGAACCTCCAAATAAGTGAGAGAAGATTCCCATTGAATTCTCACTTGGTGTCCAAGTGTCCACCCTCTGTACATCCTCTTGCTGATGACATCTAGATCATTTTTCCCATCATACACTCGAATCAGTCTCTTTCGCCACCTGTAGCAAACATTACGATGCTCGACTATCTATTTTTAAAACTTTAAGTTGTCCCTTTTCCCTTACACTTTCTGTCACTACCAACCCCATTTTAGTGTGTGAACATTCGAGATCAAGGACTGAGTCCATTGCCCTTCAAGCCTAAGCGTAGGTGACCCATGTAGAATTCTAGGTTATAAGGGATATCAAGGGATGACCTCCTTTTTATCCTTCTTCAAACTTGATAAATTGTCTCACTTCATAATTGATCATATCCGCTGCTAATTTTATTCATTTCACAATCTTAATAATCGTTTTCTAATAAATTATTTATTTCATTCAATTATTCGCAATAATTATTCCAATAATTTTTTTTTATTTCATATTGCTTCAGTATATTTTCATCAGATTGAATAAAAATATCGTTAAAATAAAAAAAGTAATGATAAGTATTTTTTATCCTTTTCGAAGTGAGAATAATTTATCCCCCCTTTACTACTTTTATAGCCCATAAGGGAGCAGTGAAGAGCGCGAGAGAGAAAGAGAAAGGTCTCTAAAAGGGTTAAATGTAAGGGTCTGTGAACGGAACTTGCGTCCAAATAACGGACAATCATTTTGCTAGTTTGAAAAGTGTGAAATCGCTTGACACTTTGATAGTTTAGCATTATTATAGATGTTAGAGAAAACCTTTTTAGGTCATTATTAGACTTGATATTTCAACTAATTCACACGTCATTTTATCCAAATGGAATTGTTTCATTTCTTATGTTTCTATTATTTAGATATACGTCTTTGTTCCTAATGATGATTACAATGGATTTAAGCTTAAGTCCCTTTTTTTTCTATTGTATCATAGTTAATTTTTCTTTTTGTTTCTTTTCTCTTTTAGCAATGCAATCCCCACGAAAAGGATGCTGACTATTGGGGCACTGGACGTGGTACAAAACAGGGATATGAGGTGAGTTACTATTCAAATCCTTAATTTCACGCCACAACATAATTGTTAGGCATAAAGTTCGCAGATTCTACCTTTCTGAGACCCAGCATTTTTTGTTGCAGGCCAAGATGAATGCAGATCACAATCAGTTACAAAAAGGTGAGTTCAACCCTTTATATCAATTTGTAGCGAAAAAAAATTAACATTCCAAAAAAAATACTATGTGTTGTTGTTAATTTAAAAAATACATTTATATTTCACAATGACTTAATTTTTATACATATTAATAACAATGGGATTATTTATACTTGTTTATTGTTACCTTGAAAAAATACACGTCCTCTACAACACACATGTGATTAAATAGTTAAATATATTATTGAAAAGAAAAAAAAACAGGTTTAATCATAAAATGCATTTGCAAAAAATTAAGAAAGAATATGTTGAAGATTTTTTAGACAAAATTTATCCTCAATTTGATGAAAAAAAAAAAAATATATTGATATAAAAGTTTACATTCACATTCATATCTCTCTTTGTCCTATTCTCTATTTTTCTTGTTCCTTTAATCTTGTCTTACGTCATAAATGCAAAGTCACAACCGGTTCTTTTAGATGTTGTCTACCTATGTTTACGTTATACTCTCACGCATCTAACAACATATATATTTTATTTTCACGCATGTATAAGTGCCGATTTCAGGTCCTCTCACCAAGCTAAATTTGCCCGGATGTTTCCTGTATCTTTCACTACTCCACTCCCCGCTAGTCTGTCTGGTTTGTATTGCGTTCTTTAGTCTTTTCTACAAGGTTACATTACATAACTAAAATCTATAGGTCAACCCTTGCATTTTATATCCATGCAGTTTTTTTTCTTTATTTTTGACTCAGCAGCTTTTTTTTTTTTTTATTCTGTTTATTCGTTAATAATTCCCCACCAATCACACATGTAGAAGGGAAAGTAAATGATAAAGTATATACGAAGTAAAAGTTACGATTCAAGTGCATTTTCCTTTCGTTCTGTTGGTAATGACCTGAGAGTTACATTTCTTGTAGTTTATTCACTATAAATTGAGTAATCTACCTTGTAAAAGGCTGTAACACGTTTCCATAAACGTTTTTCACTGCCAGTGTACTTATTCAACATGTGTCCAAGTGTTTCATGACCTAATCTAAATCATTTTTTACAATTGATTAACAATAAGCATTTCAAATTCAATCTTACAATTTATTTATAATCTTTTTATTTTTAAAAATACATTTGATTAATTTATTTTATTTTAAAATGATTAAATAATTTTGTTAGATCTTGTTGAATATTGTATATATTAATTTTTCAAATAATATAATTAGAGTTATTTTCCATCAATTATAAGCCAATCTTGGTATATAATTTTTAACATCCGTTTGGAAATTTTCTTTTAAGAAAATTTCTTCTTCATTTTTGGTAAATTTTTAATGATCTTATGGTCACTTGAACGGAAGTTACTGAAACAATATTTTAATGACTATATTTATTTTCTTAATGACTGACTAGTTTTCCAGCTGAAAAGATTTTTTTCAATTCCACTTGTTCACATCCGTTTTGAAAACGAGAAAAAAAAAATTTTCTCAATTTCCGTCAAATCCTAGAAATAATTAAATAAAAAATTCTAACTATTGGCAATTTGTATAATATTTCAATGATAAATGATTTTTTAAAAAGGTTAAAAAAAAATATTTATCTATGCTCTGTATAATAATTATCCTTATTAACATTTTTAACAAACGAGAAAATGATTCATAAGTTGATCATTGATTACATTTATAATATAATTAACCAAGAAAAATCAAATAGATCAATTTCCATAAAATGAATATGATCAGATGATGATTTGATTAGTAATTTCCCGAGAATTCAATGGGGGCACATATTTAAAAGTCATTAGACAAAGGAAACATAAGAGGCGTAACTTAAAGGTAAATAACTACGAAGAGACTAATTTCTTGAAGCGATCAAGTGTCTTGTGATCTTTCCTGATGTTTAAACCGGCGCCTGAGGCAACCCTCCTAATCAACCCAAGTCTTTCCCGTCACCCAGACCCCAGTTCCGCGTGTTGCGCAAGGCTAGAAGCAACAAGAGGTCCGTGAGTGGCTCGTTAATGCACAGATCGCATGATGCCCAAATCCAGCTTTGTGAATCTGCTCTTTGGCCGCCTCAAGGCCATCGTTTTTTTTCCATCTCCCTTACTCACATGTCTTGCTCGTTAATTCAACTCTATATTCATACCTAACCTTCTCTCATGACGACTTATGTTCTTCATATATGCCATGACTCGTCAAACTCATTGGAGGCGTCATTCCTTGGCATTTCGTGATCTCCTGGAGACACGATCCTTTATTCTGATTTCTCTCATTTAATCTCAATGAAACTATTGTTCTCAGAATTCCTTACACTGTTGCATTCTCCTTGAAAAAAAAAAACAAAATTTCTTCATTTACCTTGAAAAGCTCATTTTTACTATGAATGAATAATTTAGAGTTTATGATAGCATATATTTAGAAAGAAATGATTCGAATCATATTCGAAATATCACCAGTCTGCAAGATGTCTAGACTCTAGACTCTAGACCAACATCGTTCTATCGCTTTATATATCTTTTTATGGCCCAAACCGTGTAGTAGTGTAGTCGTTTTTTTTTACTTATATTCACCTGTGAAACTGTTACTTTGCTTTGGCAAAAAAAAACCATTTAAAAAACTCAGACAGACAGAAGATGAACGAGTTGAATTGATTTATTCATACATACTTAAAATTTTTTGCCTTTTTTTTTTTATTTAATTGCAATCAATAAATATAGTCTTTAACTGATTTTTTTTATCCTTTAAATTTTATTTTTTTCTAAATTAAAATTATCTTATTTTTATTGTTTATACGTATATGTGGATTTATAATATTTATTTGTCGCCTTAACACTAAATATATACATCATCGTTTCTTTAATATTTTAAATGTCTCTGGTTCCTATCACTCTTTTTTTTTTTTTTATTCTATATTACTCTCTTCTCTCACGCTCGACCGGACTTGAAAATCGATTAATCGATCGTCCACAGCCACTGACATTTGCCGAGTTATTTGCATAATTCAATGTGTCCACTGTCCTCTTTCGTCTTCACCTACATGATCTATCAAATGAATAATATTCACACAAACGACCTACCTTATCAGTGGAATAAAATAAATATTTTATGTTTGGGTTTTATTTAAAATTGTTGGAAAAAACTAATAACTAAAAATGGAAGTTTAAAGAAAAAATTATTTCATTGAAGTTATAAACATTTAAAATGTGTATATATCATTTAATGTAATTTTTATTATTGTGATTATTTTTATAACAATAACTTATGTTTTCCAAATTGTTATTATGGTTTTATAGTTGAGATACGACTGAAGACTATAACGGATTTTTTCTTTCGTATTTCAACAGAGAGTCAGATGCTCACGTCTGCCTATTTATTATCTTCGTTATAAGAATAATTACTACGTTTATGAAAAAAGCCAGTAATTCAACGTTAAAAGAAATTTATTTTTAATTGCTCCAACCGTTTATTCAGTTTTATTCTTTTCTTTTTGATGATTCATTTATCAATTGAGCTTTTTCAAAAATTTTAATTTCAGTTAAAAGTGATTATTTATTTTTTTCAATTAATTCATTATTAATACCAACATCACTTTTAGACTTTTTAATTATTCAAATTAATAACTCTATTGTACTGTTGTGTTATAAATATTTAATAATAATTTTGACTTGGATATATTTATGGATGTGGATACTTAATTCGCTTGAAATGGCATAAATTGGAATTTCAATTCGAATATAAGAGAGAAAAAAATAAAAGATTTTGACGAGAAAGTTTAATTGAGTAAGATTTTAAAAAGAAACCCAAAGTGTTGAAGATTATAGGATAAGTCTGTCAGCCATTTAATAATAATTTAGGCTGTGGATATTTACTCACATAAGTTTAAAAACATATTGAAGCATATGTGTGTTGTAGTGGGTGTGAATGACGACGAATGCACAATTTCATATAGAAACAGACAATGGGAAATAATTGACAAATTCCCACGCACATCAACAGCTTTGTTTGTTAACCATTCTGCCTTTTTCTAGCCTTCTAGAGAATTTATATTATTTTCTGTTACCTACATCGTCAACACTTGAAACTTTAATCTCCTAACTAGAGGTTGAAGCAGTAGTTTATTTACCATTTTTATAAACACGTCAAATTTTTGTAAAAAATGATTGCTAAACAATTCAATGAATTAATTAAAAATTAAAATAAATACCGTACATTATCATTTATGAAAAATTACTGTTTAAACTTGATGACTTTTTCATAAAATTTATCATTCATGTCATTAATAATTTATTATTGTAACGAGAATAGTTTTTAAAAATAAATTTCCGTTGATGATAGATTTAAAAAAAAATCTTTCGAAATACTCTCTGTACCCTGTTCATGATGATGACGACGCGTAAAAGAGTAATTAAGCAATGCAATGTACATGCAAAGTCCAAGAAAACATATAGCAGTTGAGTTTGAACGAAGAACAACACTTGTAAAGTTGTCTATTGACGTGAAACATTTGCTTAGCAATATTAAGAGTGCGAGTAAGATGAAGAAAGAGTACCAAGTGAGAAGAGAAACTGTATTACGTGCATGCAAATTGTAATCGTCGAGTTCAAGCGCACTGGAAAGATCAATTAGCTATGCTAGATGCTGAAAAGAATCTTGCTGTATACTTATCTATATTTTTCATCTATTTTTTGACCGTTTTTGTTTCTAAAATTGTCTATTCATTTTTCCTTAATTATCTCAATAATATACTATTTTAAAATGTTCCGTCAATTAACTTACTTCATAGATTAAATGTTTAAAATTCAATTCAATACCTTTTATTATATTAATAAGAATAAGAGTAAATGACTGAAAGTTAAATTCATAATGCTGTTTACCAATTATCTACAAGGTTAGAAAGGTGTTAAAAATATTATTTAAGAATTTAAATAACTTTTATTGACTAGTCTATCATCTCATCTTGACTCGGAGATCAACAGCAAGGTAAGAGAATTGATGCTGACGCAATAGCACAGCGTGCAAAGGGCAAGGATCTTTTGGGTTGCAAGGACGCTCATGATTCCATGTTGCGACTGGTTGTCATTAATATAACAGCTCAAGTGTCAGCATGAATGTGCCTGCATACATCTCTATATAGTTATTATATATAGCTTTTATACTAACATATGAGACTTTCAACTGCTGCTACTGCTACATAGCAGTGAGAACTAGATCATCCTGATGCTAATTAGTTACAATCATTTTTCAAATGATCAGTGTACCAATAGTTCATCAATCTTTCTATAGATATAACAAATTAATAACCATTTCCACTTAAAAAATACATTTTAAACATAATATATTACATAGAAATATGATAAATTTATTATCCAATATTCATTACCAAAGTCTTTTTAAGAAAAAATAATTAATTATATTGATGAGTTTATTAGTGACTATTTTGGGAAACATTTTAATTATAACAGCATTTTAATGGATTGAATTGAATATTGTGTGTTGTAGGAGATGATCAATATCGAGGAACTGGTGGAAGCAGTAGCGGAAGTCCGCCAGCAAGTCTCTTAGTTGTGCCACAACCATTGACAGTTAAACCCTCACATCCATCACATCTAAACCCCCATCTTGGGGGTCCACATCCCCCTAGAAAATATCAATGCAAAATGTGTCCTCAGGTAAGTGTGTTGTTGTAAACATTTTATTTTTTTTATCAGTTATATCAATTCGTTGTTTATTTTGGTCCCAAAATAAAGAGATTTTTTAAATCCTTTTGGACCTAAGGATTAGAGAGAGAGACAGGTTTCCAGTTGGTAAAAAGTGTAATATAGCTGCTTAAAGTAGTATGGTATGAAATGAGAAAAATTACTTAATCTACGGATTTTGTCAATAAAATTTTATTACAAATTTTAAACTCAGGTGCTAAATGAGTTAGAAAAAGGGTAAGGTAAAGAAGGAAGGAGCAATAAAAACGTGAAAGTATTAAGTAATTAAGTTTTACAATTTCTAATCTTACTTTTCCACATTTTACTATTGTAGTCTTTAAAGAAAAATTACTTTCTTATTTTGGCCACATTTTATTACTTTAGTGGTCATTTTTATTTTTTAAATGTATTTATCCAGATGTTCTGAATTGTTTGATGATTAAGTAAATGATGCTATTCCGAAAAGTTTTCAACTCGACATTTTTCTATTAATCTTCAAAAATAGTCGAAAAACAATTATGTATTCCTAAAAGTATCTTGAGTAAATAATTGTAGTATATGTTAATTCTCATGAGTTTTCAAAATTGTATCCCACAATATGTTTTAAAAAAAGCCTCAAATTTGGTCCTTTCACTTAAATTTATCCCACAGTAGAGCTATCCCTAGAATGACCTCCAGGTCCACATGGCCAAGGGTCAGAATCTCAGTTACGACGGAAGGTAATGGTAGTCGATTTAAGTGAGAAAAATTTCCTAATCTCCAAATCGAGCAAACATATTTATTAAAAATTTTATGATACCAAAAAAAGGAGAATTCCAGAAAGGGGTTGGCAGGAAAAAAGTTCAGTCAAAAGTCATAAAAATAGAATTAGCAAAAAATATTCACCCCCACAATTTTTTTTTCCTATGGGTGTACTTTTATAGTTAACCAAGTTAACCCTTCGAATATCTTCACACTTTCCAACCCAACAATCACAACTCTTACAAAACCACTGTTTGGGCTTTACATTGTAAAACATGGGGACTTATTTTTGAGGTATCCAACAACGGTGCAGGACCTACAGTTATACAGAGTAGTTGTAACAGTATAGCAACAACATAGTCGATTTCTACCAGGTAGTTGGAGATGATAAAAGGGTTCCAACTATAGAATTAAGTTGTTCTCATCTCTTTCACCAATTTACTTACTTTTATGATGACAACTTGAAAAAAGAACCTTTTTAATCCGACCTTACTTTCAATTTATTTCGGAAAATATTCATGTTTATCCCAATGAAGTAAATAACTAGCAAATATGAAATTACATTATTGAATAAATTATGTATTATATGTGTTTTATTGTTAAAACAAAGGTTAATATTTTGGAATTATATATACATATGATAAATTAATAAATTATTGAAACATTGGTTAATGTAATTTCATCTATTTTATATGAAGGATTAGTATTAAATTTGTATGGCAGATAATAATAATGATAATTATTTTATAATTAGTATGATATTCATTTTAGTATTATTCCGTTAAAGGATTTTTTTCCTTTATTATGTCCGGTTAGTTTAAAATTAAATTTAGTAAATAACTAAAAGACAACAGTTAAAGATAATGTTTTTTTCAATGTAAAATAAGATAGAGAGGAAAATAGTTAGGTTTGCCTTGAGTTGATACTTTGTGCTTCTCGTGGTTGCTTCAAGAAATAAGAGGCAAGATTCAAGTCCGGAGGCAAGTGTACCGTGACGGCACAGCATCCTGTGTTCCTCTCTCCTCCCTTCTCCCCTTATTCACTTCGCCACTCTCTACTGTAATACGTTTTGTCTTATCCTTCTTGCTTATATTTAGTTGTCGAAGGCGCTTTCTCTCTACCATCGGCACCTCTTTGCTCCCGGTCTTCCGCTCTATACAAGTGTACAAGTATACACTACTCATCCTCATCATCATTATCGTCATCATTCCAGAAAGAGAAGACCTGTGATCGATCCCTTGATTTCATCCCAAAGGAAAACCGCAACGACCTTTACCTTGCAAGCTTAAACAAAAAGTCCAAACTGAAAATAATAAGTGTGAGGTTTGTTTTTCTATACTCGTTTCATCAATTACCTCTGAATTACTTCCTGAGATAAACCTACACATTTTTTCTTTCCAACAAAAATGTATCAAAAAACATCTACAAATGTTTGCATCATTCTTTCCTCCCTAAATTATCTTTTCATTTAATTATTTTCGTTGTAAAGGATCATTTATCGCAAATTCAGGAATTCTTTGAATAAAATTTCAATTAATAAAATAAAATATCCTCGATAGTTTGTTATTACAACTATTAGTCACATTTGGATATAGAAAAAAAATTACAATAAAGAAAGAAAGACAAGTATTACATAAAATTTTTTTCTGTATTGATATAAATTGAAATTTACACTCTGATAATTTCCTAAAAAAGCGTGAATTCTAATCTGAACAAGTTCCCATAAGAAATTCAGTCTGAAGAGCCCCCTCTCTTACATGAATAGGGTTTTTAGCTATTGGGTTAGGTTGGGTAAGGTCGGATCAGGTGCCTGGTGGTGTGCAAAGAAGATTCTGAAGTAGGTAAGAGTGAGAAAAGACAAATATATTCATCTCTGTTGCTCTTTAAGATTCCATAGGTTTCTTGACAGCCTCCCACGCCAAACAAAAGTCCTTAAGCCTTAGAGACTGAACATGATACCCCATTTACTTGTCTATGTACTAAATTTCTAAGTCTCCCATGTTCGTTTGAAGGTACAATGGCCACTGAGAGTTATGTAACCGTCTGTCCATCTATTTCAGCCTTGATGCCTTCAAGAAAAAATCTGGGTCCAATGTAGTAAGATTCTCTTTAACATATGAGTTACTGGGTGATCCAGTATTAAAAGAAAATGATGAACAGAAATTGGAACTTTTGACATTAAATAAGGATTTCAAGTGCTAAAGAACATCAAATAAAGGCTCTCATAGTCTTCTCTAGGTTGAGATCTTAAATAAATTTATCAAGTACATGAAAGTTAATAACCCTAAATTTAATTGGGTTCAAAATTAATTATCTTTCTCTCCTTTCAATATAATAGGTTTAAACAAGTGCATCAAGAAAAATGAAAGTTCATTCATAGGTATTAATGGTAATGATACAATTAAAAAAAAAAGTTGAATAGATGACCGTAGAAGCTCTACATATAAGATATCTTCCATCAAACCTCCTAGTTGGTTCTATATTTGTAAAAGGAAATGACAGACGGAGTCTCTGATCTTAAGTAATAGTGTAGAAGAACATGAAAACTCGAATTCTACAGATAATGATAATGACGGCGGCAGTGATGTTGATGATGATGATGATGAAGAAGCCATAACGGACCAGTGATGATGCGTGACAATTCGAATTTGGCCGCAATTGCCTACCTAAGTCACGTGATGATGAGAGGAAGTAGTCAAAATCACTGAGTAGTCGTTCATTCAACTCTTCCACCTTTTTTTTAATCTCTCCTTCCTTATTCTCTTCTCCATTTTTTTCGTCTCATCTTCCTTTCGGTCAAGCCGACCCGAAATTACGTCTAGCGAGAGCGTAGTAAATGCTACCGGTTAATAGTCCCGCTCTCCTTTCTCTTTTTTTTTATCTTCTTAAAAATATATATACATCCATACTTACAAGTTTAAATTTTTCTACATTAATAAAAACTTTTTTATTCACTCAAATTTACTATGTTGGTGTCGCGTGGCAATCTCTTTGACCATTGAGAACTGGTGTAAAGTAAGAAGAACGATGTTGAATAAGAGAAAAAAAATAAAAGAAAAAGATTTATAATATGATCTGGTGCTTTTCGAAATAATAGGAGAAAAGAGAATTATTGAAGAAAAGAGAGCAAATAATCGAGCAAAAAAAAAAAAATAGCTGCTCGTAAATCTGTGGCTGGGCCTCATCACAGTGAATATTTTCTCTCTTCGTCCTCTTCATCATCCATGCATTCTCTTCCTCATCGTTTCATCTTGCAGATTCTTAAGTCTTTTATCATTTTTTTTTTTCTTTATTTTTAATACACCGACCTCTACACTCTTCGCTCAGCACGACTAACGAATATGGGCCCTGCGGGGCCTTAAACTAGACTCGAGACGGTAGCAGAATCCCTTGAAAATTGAGTAGCTATAAAATTAATTATCCGACGTGCTTTATCTCTACCCGGCGGATATGCCTTCCAATTGTGATGTCTCCAGACACCGGAGTATTTTATAGTCTTATCAATTGATGAGAGGAACGAGAAAAAAAATTTCTTCTTTATGACGAAAAAACCATAAGGCTACTTTTTGACTAGAAATGCCAATAAATCTTTCAATTTAAAATTTCATATGGTTGATGGTAATTTGAAGTTACATATGACTATGAGAAATGATATTTGAGGTGGTGGGAATGCAGATTAGTCAACAAAAACAATTTAGGTTTCCCAGTTAACCTTATGGACGTGTCGAATGCAGGAAGACATTGCTCCCACTCGTTGTCTTACGTATGGTTTTTATCTTTCCCGGTCGTTTGTATTTGTGGGTCCAGACATAGGGACAGGTGGCAGACCGGTGATCGAGGGAGCACGAAAACACAAACGATATGATAGAAAAAGATGCAAGAGCCTGAGGGCATGGGAACCTGACTTCGAGGGCAGCATCCCTAGGAAGTGAGCGCAATCCTCATCCCTACTCGTTTCCTCTTCTTTAAATCGAGGGGGAGCAAATGAGGAATATAGGGGTTTGAAAAAAGGCGCTTCTGAGAGGGGAAAAACACACATTTGCTTATATACATTTACTTTCTATCCTGAAAATTCATCAGGCCGTGTCTGATACCCGCAAACATTCTAAAGTGGCCTCTATAGTAGTCCTAGATCGATTTTCCTAATTTTATAAGGACATGGCTTTCTTCAGTTCCTTTCTATTTACTTACTATTTCTCTATTTATCTAATGTAGTCATTATTTAGACTCCA